CTGAGCTAATGCAGAAAGAGAGAGGATGCCCACGCCCCTGGGTCCTGACGTAGTCTGCAGGTTCAGGTAAGGGGACAACACGGTACTATCCTTCCTATAATAATAATAGTAATAATATAACTAGCACTTAGAGCACTAAGTATGGGTCATACCCTGTGGCAAGCACTTCATATGTGCGGTGTATCTTATAATCTTCACAACAACTTTATGAGAGAGGTGCTATTATCATCCACGTTTAACATAAGAGGAAATTGGCTCAGAGAATATAGATAACTTCCTGAGGATCACAGGTAGGAAGTGGCAGAGCTGGGACTTGAATGCAGGGCTGTCTTAAAACCAAAGCTTAGTGTTCTTAAGACAGAATGAAATCCAGCTAGGGTCACATGGGAACCGAGCACAGGATCCTGAGTCTTCATCTATGGCTCTCTTCATCCATTCAAAGCCAACACCGCCGAGTTGGAATGCTTTGGAGATGGAGGTGTCATTGAGGATGACTAAGTGTCACATGGAGGGGTATATGGGAGACATCTGGCATCCCTAGGCCCAGCCCTCCACAGCTGTCAACCAGGATTTACAACTGCTGGCATGTTCTTATTACAAATAAGATAGCATAATCTTTGAAAGCCATATAATAATGTATGCATATTACAAATAAAATATTAACTCATAGTTGATAGGCATAAATTACAAAAGCCTTTCTAGACTCTGAAGCACCACATAAACGTTTGGTCTCATCCTTTTATGGTTGTTGCTGCTGTTACTGTTCAGTCGGTGATGTGTTCAGGGAGCTTACCCCAGCCCACATCGCAGTGGTAGTGCCTGCAATATCAAATGGCAGCTGAGAACATAGCCTGACTTGAATTTTCTGTCCCCACTGGGTCCTAGCACCTGGAAGTATTTGAGCTTTGCATATGGATATATTGCAGTAAAAGCCCACTGTGCAGATGAGCTAATTAGGCAGGTGTTTTCAGCATTTGCCAGCTTGCTCGGTGCTGAAATCAGTCTTCATGTTTAGCCTTGGTGGCCAGCAGCACTCCTGGCTCTTTAGAGCATTGTTAGAGAGACTCTTAGAAACCATCAGACATGATGGAAGGGGTACAGGCCCACTAGCAAGTCTCAGGACACGTGACAGGCCAGGAAGCCAGCCATGAGCATCTGGGAGAGAAAGCCCACAGACTGTGCTGTGGGTCTCCTGGGCATTTCTCGTGACCTTGCTAAATGGGATTATCTTGAAGAGCATCCGAATCTTCGTTACTCTCTAAGCCCAGTTTAAATCCTACCCTCTCTGCAGATGCTTTTCCTGACAGTGCAGCTCCCGTCTGCTCCCCACCTAAAGTCCTGTGGTTGGAATGCCTGTGCCATCCACTTGGACGCCGAAGTGCCCTGCCTTGAACAAAGGGTCTTCCAAAAGTTCATGGAAAATGCATATTGTGAAAAAACTATACAAGGATTTCAAAATTGTTTTAGCACTAAAATAAACTCATGCTAACTTGGTATAACATTTGAACAGGATCTAGTTTGAGTCACCAAGAAGGATAAGACATCAGTTTGAAAGAACAAAGCAACACTAATTCTGCTAAAATTGAAGCAAAAATAAACATCAAATTTATAGAGAAGCCTGGGCAGAAGAATTGTGAAATTATTGATGCTTTACAAGAAGTTCTTGGGGAAAATGCCCCCCAAAAATCAGCATTTACAAATGGACAGCTCGTTTTAAGAAGGGATGAGATAATGTTGAAGATGAAGCCCAAGGCAGCAGACCATTCCCATCGATTTGCAAGGAAAAGATTCATCTTGCTTGTGCCCTAACCAAAAAGGACCAAAGTTTAATAGAACTAACAATAGCCAACACCACAGACATCTCAACTGGTTTAGTTTGCATAATTTTGACTGAAAAATTAAAATTGAGTAAGCTTTCCACTCAATGGGTGACTAAACCCTTGTGCCCAGATCAGCTGCAGACAAGGGCAGAGCTTTCAACAGAGCTTTTAAACAAGTGGGATCAAGACCCTGAAGCACTTCTTTGAAGCATCGTAGCAGGAGATGAAACAGGGCTTTTCCAGAATGATCCTGAAAACAAAGCACAATCAGAGCAATGGCTACCAAAAGGTGGAAGTGGTCCCGTCAAAGCAAAAGTGGACTGGTCAAGAGCAGAAGTCATGACGGTGGTCTTTTGGGATGCTCGAGGCATTTTGCTTGCTGACTTTCTGAAGAGCCAAAGAAGGATGACATCTATTTATGATGAAAACATTTATTATGAGAAAGCCAAAGCGTTAGGAGAAAAACACCTAAAAAAAACCCCACAAAAACAAAAACAAACCTGGGACAGCTTCACCAGACAGTCCTCCACCAGGATAATGCTCCTGCTTGTTCTTCTCTTTAAACAGGGGCAATTTCAAGAGAGTTTTGGTGGGAAATCATTAGGCATCCACTTTACAGTACCAATTTGGCTCCTTCTGACTTCTTTTTATTTCTTAATCTTAAATCTTTAAAGGGCACTCCTTTTTCTTCTATTAATAATGCAAAAAAGACCGCATTGACATGACTAAGTTCCCAGGACCCTTCTTCTTTCTTTAGGGATGGACTATATGCTGGTGTCACTGCTTAAAAAAAGTGTGTCGAATATGATGGAACTTACGTTAGAAGTCAAGTTTATATTTGTAATTTTCATCTTTTAATTCCATTTTTATGAAGTTTTTGAAGTTCCCCTTTATTGTTAGCTACATATTTTTGTCTGGTTTCACCTTTACTTTCACGTTCCTGACCTTCTGTGACCTCTCCCAGTGACAGTCATATGTGGACTTGGGACATCTCTGGTGACCTATCTGGTTGGTAAACCGTACCTTGTTCCAGACTGGGTTTAAGGGAGCTGTTTCATTCTTATACGTACATGTGATGTTCTTAATTAACTTTTCATGTGACTTTGCAAGCTGTCTAGACATCCAAAACATATGAACTTTGAAACTCAGGCTGGTCTCAGCCTCCGTCTTACTTACCTTGGTTATACTCAGTGACAAAGTATCGCTGGGCTATTGGGTGAAGAGCTAGAACCACGGTCCAAGTCAGCTCGCTCTCATGCTAGTCATTCGCATAATACCCTTTACGTTATTTTACTGCAGTTACTGTGATTTATATCATATATTCACTCACTCATTAAAGCCTTTCCCTCAACCCACTGGGAGACCTATTTGCTTCTTCACCATATCCCACGCATCTTAGAACTTGGTAGGGGGTCTGTAAACACTAGATCGATAAACACTTGAATTAATCAGCATGCTCTGATTGGGAGAAGAGAGTTCAGATCTGGGGCTCAGTGGCTTTCTGAATGCCTCAGCTGTAAAGAGAAGTAAGGTCTGCTGCAGATGGGCGGTGGAATAATGGAAAACACAGAGTCTAGAAGTCAGTGACCTGAGGGTCAGGCATTTGCTATGTAACTTCAAGAAAGTCTCGCAAGGGTTGAAGGAGATGTTTTTGTGAAATTGCTTTGTAAACCATAAAGTGACATGGCAAGGTGTTGTTTGTCACCCTAAGATCTGGCCTCTGCTTGTTTGTCCAAATGTATTTCTTATTAATTTAATTTACCTAGGCCAATCTTCTCATTAAAAAAATTGTTCTCCCTTTATTGCAAAGTAATGCATTGTAATAACAAAAATATCAGAAAATTCAGAAGAAAATAAAAATCATCTCTTTAGGTTACCATCTAGAAATAACTGTTCACACCTTATTTAGAGTCTAAATATTTTTTTTTTTTCTAAATTAGTTTCCCAGGTGTCAGCAGTGGGGGCAAGGCGGGGCGGCTTTCCACTCCTGTTTTCCCACTGCACTGGCTTTGCTGAGGGCCGCTGCCTGGGAACCCACCACCAAAGAGTGATGTCTCCCCACTTGTTTGCTTCCAGCATCCTGGTAGCAATGCCAGTGGAGCAGGGGACAGGGCTGCCAACAGGTGGCTTAGAGAGGGGGCTATCTTGCTTCAGCGCTTTTCCTTGTCTAAAGTGCTTATTTGGTCTGTGTGTTTATTGTTTGTCTCTCCCCACTGGAATATTAGCTCCGCAAGGACAAAACCTTGCTGGATTTGCCCGTTGCTGCCTTTGGCACCTAAAAAGTGCCTGCACAGAGTAAATATTCATTGAACAAATGAATGAACACTGAAGCACTGTGTTACCTCATATAGACTAGGAAATACCCGAGGAATATTTGCCTCGCATGAATTGTGCTTCTGAGAGACACAGAGGCCATATTCCTTGGTGATACACGTTTGGACTTCCAGGTCTAGCTGTGGTTTGAGCTTTGGCATTATACAATAGATAATCCCAAACCCCTTTTTTGCAATCACTGCTTCTCCCTCCAGTCATTTCAAGCACACTCTCAGCCCATGCTACTTAGCATGTGGCAAAAGCATTCTGCAAAGTTGCTCTCCAGGTTCAGTTATAGCACTCCCAAACTGTCCTGTGCAAGGAAGCCCATCCTCTCCCTGTCTCAAAGCCTGTCTCTCCTCCAGCGCCTTTCAGCTTTCCTTCCTTGTGTAGCCCCTAGGCTTTCTTGTACATCCTACCGCATTTCGTTCTTAGGGAGGGCAGTGATTCTTAAGACAATGCTTACATTGCTGTCTTCAAAGGTGAACTCCTATGGTATAGACAGCATCTGTGGATTGGATGGAAAGAATTTCAAGAGCACTTGCTGGAAGCTGGAGCTCTATGGGGGACAGTGTCCAATTAAGCCTGAGGCTACCCACTTCTCATGCACAAGGGCCTGCTCCCATCAGGCTGGGCACAGTCTCTGGATTCAGGGTCACTAAGCAGACTTATCACTGCTATTCCTTCATCTTCCCTTCTCCTCTCCAAAACCTGGAAGAGGATATATTAGACCTGTTTTCTTCCAGAACACTGCAATGTGGCAGGAGGGATGTTTCCCCCCAGATTTTCCAAAATTGCTATAAAGCCCCTTCTGTTGAAGCCCTCAGTGGAAAACAAGGTGTGATTCATCTCTTATGTGTTTCCTAGGTGGCATTCAAATCACCAGTGGCCAAAGTACCTTTCAGGTGTGAAGAGTTGCAGGCCCTCCGAGGAGCTGGGAGCTGCAAGGTGAGTGAGCAAACAAAAGGCAACAGGCTGTACAGCACTTGATCCACCCCCACCCCAGACCCCAACTTCAGGCCCTGCCTTGTCAGCACTATTGTGGCTGCTTTTAATATTCATGAGGAGCAGCAGTGGGCCCTTAGGTTTGAGAAACAGAGTTTCATCAGCTTTCTTGAGGACAGTTTAAAAAATATTAGATGACAGAGGGTCTGTTCCACCTTGTTGGGGCATCACTTAAGTTCATTTAAGGGAGGCCTCTGGGAGAGGGGGTTTGTCACTTTACACATGGGCTCTTTTACATGTGGGCACAAGGGTCTGGAGTCTTTGCTAGCCTCTCTCTGCAAAGAGCCGCTCTTCAGCCACTGGTCACTCACAGAGCCAGTCCTACTGTGGAGCCTGTCCAGTCCTGATTTCCCTGCTGTCTAACTACTCCTGGCAATGAGGAGGGTGTGTTTGCATTAGCCTACAGCTTCACTGTTTGCTTTCACATCCACTGTCTCATTTGAGCCACTTCCCATGGGACAGTGATATATTAATAGTTTGGATATTTGTCACTGCCCAAATCTCATGTTGAATTGTAATCCCCAGTTTTGGAGGTGGGTCTGGTGGAAGGTGATTGGATTACAGGGGTGAATCCTCATGAATGGCTTAGCTTCATCCCCCGTGGCTTGGTGCCATCCAAAGTGAGTGAGTTCTCACGATATCTGGTCATTGAAAAGTGTATGGCACTATGCCCCCAAATGTCTCTCTTGCACCTGCTTTGTCATGTGACATGCAAGCTCCTGCTTCACCTTCTGTCATGAGTAAGAGCTCCCCTGGGCCTTCCCAGTAGCCAAGCAGATGTTGGCACCATGCTTGTCTAGCCTGCAGAACCATATACCAATTAAACTTCTTCACTTCGTAAATTATCCAGTCTCAGGTATTTCTTTATAGCAATGCAAGAATGACCTAATACAGATAGGCAGGGAGGAAACTGTTATCCCCACTTAAAAAAAAAAAAAAAAGAAAGAAAAAGGCCAACATCTCAAGTGACAGGGTGCTGAAGTTAACACTTGAAATTTATTTTTGATGCCTGGTCAGAACCTTTCTAGGGTACTATGTTCCTGCTACCCTCTTGACACATGGGGTTGAGACAGGACAAGAACAGGGAAGGGAGAGGGAATGAAGACTAGACGTTTGATGGGGAAGTTGTTGGGAACTGTCGACTAAGATACCAAGTGGGGTTATCTCTGCAGGCTAGATTCATTGTTGTCTTTGTTTTGCTCTCATTTTCTACCAGTTATGAAAATCCATGATAATAATATGCTATCCAAACTCATAGTAATTCATACAGGACTATGGCTTGGAGAAAATGTCAAAATTTAGCCCTTCGGGTGGCCTTTTATCCCACCTCAGGATAGCATCTTGTATGCTAAATTTTAACTAATACTGAGTTTGGTACTAAGAGTGGGGTGACACTGTAATAAATATCTAAAGGTGTGGATGTGGCTGTGGAACAGATAATAGGTAGAGGCTGAATGAATTTTGAGGTACATGCTAGAAAAAGCCTACATTGCCATGAACTGACTTTTGAAGGTGGTCTGGTAAGTGCTCAGAAGGAGAAGAATAGAGCTGTAGAGAAAGGAAGAAGATCCAAGTCATCCTGAACAGAACATTGGTAGAAATATGGATGATAAAAGCCATTCTGATAAGGTCTCAGATGAAAATGAGGAACATGTTATTAGACACCAGAGGAAACGTCAGTCTTGTTATAAAGTGGTGAATAACTTGGCTAAGTTGTGCTCACATTAGTGTTTTGTAGAAGGTAGACCCTGCGGGTGGTGCTGCGAGTGATGGAATTAGATATTTGGCGGAGGAAATAGCTAAGCAAAGTTTGAAGGAGTGGTCTGGTTTCTTCCAAATGCTTATAGTAAAATGTGAGAGGGGAACTATGATTTAAGATGGAATTGTGAGTCAAAGGTGGAGAACTTAAAGATTTGGAACATTCTCAGCCTATCCCTTTAGAGATGGGAACATCTGTCGTGCCCCTGACCCATCCTCGTATTTTGGAAGCACATAACTTGATTTCACAGGTTCACAGCTGGTGAGGAATCTGTCTTCGAATGAGTAATACCTTGAGTCTCAACCATACCCAATTTACATGATATTTACATGAGATTTTGGACTTTCTATCTTTGAGTTTATGCTAGAATGAGCTGAGACTTTTGAGACTGTTGGAATGGAATGAATGTATCTTGCATGTGAGAAGGACATGAATTGGGGAAATCAGGTTTGGAACAGTATAGACTGAATAATTTTGTCACCTCAAAACTCATTATGTTGAAATTTAACCTCCCAGGTGGATGGTAGTAGGAAATGGGGCCTAATGGGATTAGTGCCCTGATAAAAGAGGCCGTAGTAAACTTTCCATCTTTCTTACCATGTGAGAACACTGTGAGAAGTTGCATTCTGCAACTCAGAAGAGGGCCCTCACCAGAACCCAACCATGCTGGTGCCTGATCTCAGACTTCCAGTCTCCAGAACTGTGAGAGATAAATTTCTATTGCTTAGAGGCCATCCAGTCTATGATATTTTGTTATATCAACTGGAATGGACTGAGATGTTAAGTATTGGTAAGACTTAGCACAAAGGGAAAGGGCATACCAGTTGGCTGAAATGTACATTTGAAGATGCCAAGAGAACAGGAAATAATTTGGAAGGAAGTGAATGTGGCAGGAGAAGTGGGAGATGACTCTAAAGAAGTAGTAGTGGTCCTGTGTGTTTAAGACTGATCCTGAAAATGATGGCGAGGCATGAGCGGGTCTGCAGTTTAGAAACATCTTCCTGGCGGTGTTGTTAGGGCTTTGCTTAACTGTTTTCTGGAAAGCAGTTTTGTAATACACATTAGGAGCCTTTAAAATGTGCATACAAAATACCTCTGATTCAACCATATTATATCTGGGAATGATAATAATAACAACCACCTACCATACAGTCCTTATTGTATCAGGCGTTTTCGATATGCTGGGTTTATTATTTTTGTTTAATTCTTACAACAATTCTGCAAAGTAAGAATCATTAGCCTCATTTTACAGACAAAGAAACTGAGGTTTTATTTGTTTTTTAATTTTTTTTTTTTTTTTGAGACACAGTCTCATTCTGTCACCCAGGCTGGAGTGCAGTGGCACAATCTCGGCTCACTGCAGCCTCCACCTCCTGGGTTCAGGCGATTCTCCTGCCTCAACCTCCTGAGTAACTGTAATTACTGGTGTGTGCCACTGTGCCCGGCTAATTTCATATTTTTAGTAGAGACAGGTTTTACCACATTGGCCAGGATGATCCTCCCACCTCAGCCTCCCAAAGTGCTGGGATTACAGGTGTGCACCACTGTGCCTGGCCAGAAACTGAGGTTTTAAAGGGTCAGGCAGACTTAAGACTGTGTTCATGCTCTGTCATTAATTAGCTGTTTTCCTGCAACAAATTACTTAACTTTTCTGAAACAGCTTCCTGTGGTGCTACTATAAAAAAAAATGCAAAGCAGATTTAAATAAAAGCTCCTTTTTATTGGATTATCCACTCATTTGAATTATCTCTACCATAGCTGACTTTCATTTTCTTAAACATTTGAGAGAAGCTTCTGCTTCAAAAATTAAGTAAAAGGAGTTAGAATTGTATGGTGTAGAGAATTATTGGAGAGTAATTTTATTTTGGGGGACCACTCTGACAGTTGTTTGCGCCTACAGTTTTTACTGTGCACATACACATGGCTCTTCTAACATCCTCTGCCTTTGCTGTTTGTATGTTGTTCCCTGCTAGACTGTCAGTCCATTGTGAAAGACAGCAGTTGTAAATACATCTCTGTGTCTCCCACAGCAGCTGTCTGGTTCAGTGCCTTCCACATAGCTGGAGAAATTGCAACCATTTTTCCAGAAAGAGTTGGAGCATCATAATCCAAGAGGAAGAGAGGCTTTGAGAATAGAGAGCTAAGAGTTAAGGGCATAGGAGCAGAAAGCATAGATATTTAGGTCTGAAGACGTGAAAGGGAAGGTCTGGAACTAAGGGAATCTGGGAGAACGTATCCCATGGAAAATAAAAAAATGTTTTCATTAGTGTTGGGTCAAGAGAATTGTCTTGGATTGGGCCCCCAGAAGCCAATCCTGAGAGGAAGATTCATATTCAGGTGATTTATTCAGAAAATGCTTCCAAGAGAACCTGGTAAGGGATGGAGGAGCAGGATGGGAGATAGGAGGAAGCCATACAGATTGAGATCTCAGCAAAGTTCCAGCCTTTGCCCCACAAAAGTGTTCTAAAGTGTAAGTCACAACTCAGAGTTTGTCCCAACTGGAGGCGGGAGTACTGGGCTTTCATAATTCCATACCAGCCAGTCATTGGCTAAGGGCTCTTTAGAGCGGTGGGGGAAACTTCCAGGCTTCTGGCTCTGTCCATGTGGACAAAGTGGGTCTAGTTCAAGGGTCCACCTCCTAAGAGTTACAGGTTCAGAGAGTTAGAAGCAAAGGCACATAGATGCTGAGGGAGGGTCCACAAAAAATACTCAAGGGTATCTGGGTGGAGCATCGGTAACATTGCCTTGGTAACAGATCTGCAGCCCTAACTTTGTCCAGGTACACCACACTGATCTCTTCTAAAATTCATGATCATATGCAACTTCCTTATCTATAAAGTGGGGATAGTGTTACTTTACTTGCTGATATTACAGCATAATTGCAAAACAAAACAAAACGAAAGGAGATCTGGTATATACAGAATTGTAAAGACAACTATAAGAAAAGATGCTATGCCAAGCCAGGTATTATATTATGCCTTTCTCTTCCAGGCCGAGGGGATACATGAGCAATTGGTCCTCTTCAGGCACTTGTCTTGCAGACATCAGCACTGACAGCCTTTGAAAAAAGCTTGTTCATGGGAAGAAAGCAGACACTTTTTTAATGTTGATAAATTTTGCAGCAGTTTCTTTAATGTATACCAGATGCCTTGAAATACATCTAATTAACCACCAGCTATCATGC